AACAAAATTACATTACTATTCTATAGAAGTAAATAATTATATACTAGAAGAGACTAATGTAATATATAGTTCTATGCACGTGGCGCTGTGGAAAATTTCTCAAATTGTTTTTTATGTTTTATGATATTAGAAGGAACAACAGATGCTTCTAGTTTTGTCGAAGACATACTGGGGAAATAGATGATGATAACATTTCTCCTTAAATATTTAAATATAATTCTTCTAAAAAAAGCTTTTTTACTGTTATAAATCTTTAGAATAAAGAGATTTTCCAGACAAAGCTTGGTTTCCAAGCTAGTTTACTAAATTAATTTAGACTAGCTTGGGAACCCAGCTTTACCAGGAGCCTAAAATTTCTCTTTAAAAGTCAACCTTCTTAACTTTCATTAATCTTAATCGCCAAAGATTCCCGAAAATCAAAAATATCATATCTTTTATCTGCATTCAATTAGCTTTAGTAATTCTAAAAGAAGGTATCGATTCCTAGGCCCTTTAGAACATCTTTAAGTACTATTTTATCTAAATTTTATACAGTTTTATAATCTAATATTATAATATAATCTATAATCTATAATCCATTAAACGACCAAAATCTAAGGACTAAAAGTTTAAATGAAAATGTTCAGCTAAGATGTGGTTTGTGACTATAGGGCTGGGCAAAGCTCAGTTAACAGAACGGAGGTTTTCCAAAATTAATAGAAGAATCCGTTAACGAACTGCAAAAACCGTTAATTTTTAAACCGCTAACAAAACGGATTGGCCGTTTTTGAAAAAAATTAACGGTTGAAAATTTTATTGAACTTGTAAAAAAAATTGAAGTTTGTTCAGCCGTGAAAGAATCTGGGTTCTCCTCAGATTAGGATAGATAGTTGATTTGAATATCTAGATGAAGTATATTCTACCATGATGTGCAATTCTAATTCATTATCTGTATTAATAATATTATTATCTTAACTATTTGTATGTTGACCCAGCCGGGCTAGCCCGGTCAGTTCATTTTACCTGTTTATAAATAAAGTAGTTGAATATCAATTGTTGATTAGAACGGACGTATACAGAGCCTTGAGTTTTGGCTAGAGATTTAGTTAAATGGGATCTCATTAGACTTTGAGTTAAGTAATCGTTATAGAAGTAGCGCCTAGATTTGTTACATAGATACTACTCAGTCCGCAGAAGAGGAATAATATAGTTCAACTGCTGGTGCCGTTAACGATTTGACAAACCGTTAACGCCGTTAATACTACAAAAGATTGTTAACGGCTGCACCCTTAACAATTTTATAACCGTTAACGAATTTGTTCGGCGCTTTGCGCCGTTTATACTGAAATAGACCGTTAATGGCTGAGCCGTTAGCAATTTCATAACCGTTAACGATTTGTTTAGGCGCTTCGGTAAAACTCTCGTAAATTCTGATCATTTTCTTACAATCAATCATGATTCTCCGGAAAATATTGCGGAGCATGCGTGGTCGTATGATGCAATTAGATTTAATGGAACCCTGAATTAATTGTTTTACAGAAATTCTAATATATTATCTAAAATATTCTTTACTTTTGGACTCTGGAGTTTAGTTATATTTGTTTTATGATTATAATATTGACAAATATTTCCCAATATTAATAAACACTATATTGCTATGCTGATATACATTTACATAAACAATATATTTCATTATGTTTGTATCTAATAAAAGCATTGTTTTTTTTGTTTGATCCTGCAATTTCTTTAGCACATTTTTATCAAAATTTTCACTCATAACGGGTGTGTTTGAAGTATGATATTATTCTTTTTTTTCTGCTAAGATACAGTGATGACCAGAAAACAATGGAATAGGAAAATGACATTATAGCAAGTGAATTTGAAGCAAATAGTGTTAATAAACATGTATTTAATCCCTAATTTAGTAAAACGGATCTGTTTACACTGCACAATTGAAGTGTCTCATGCTAATTGGACTTTTTAAAGTTATAACTTGATTCTAAAAGACGTCTTACTATTCCAGAGTATTCTGGTTATCATTGTATGTAATTCTCAATAGAGGAAATCTGTTTTAAAAGAATCATTAATTCTTTCTTGAAATTGTTTGATGTGCTTTTCTTATCATAAAATCAGTCAGACAAATTCTATATTAATTAAATATTTATTTTATAAAAATGTAATTACATTCCGTTTCTATTGTGTTCTGCACGATATACTTAGTTTGATTGAGGTAATTACATTCCGTTTCTATTGTTTTCTGCACGATATACTTAGTTTGATTGAGGTAATTACATTCCGTTTCTATTGTTTTCTGCACGATATACTTAGTTTGATTGAGGTAATTACATTCCGTTTCTATTGTTTTCTGCACGATATACTTAGTTTGATTGAGGTAATTACATTCCGTTTCTATTGTTTTCTGCACGATATACTTAGTTTGATTGAGGTTTCAGTTCTCAACATTAAAAACCAATATTCATCAAATGAAACGAGACAAACAAGAAAAAGAAAATACTTCTATACTTTTTAGTTTTAATCCTTTATAAAAATGTGATGCACATTATATGGTGGTAGGCGATTATATCAATACAATAAAGACGACTTTCGATTTCAATTTTGATTCATATAAAGCGTTTAAACAGCATAAATGCACAAAAAGATGAAAACAAAGAGAAGCTGCCAATTGAAAAAGCTTCTCATAATTTACTTTTAAACTGGTAATTCGAAAAACGGTTGTTAACAATAAAACTTAAATAAAAAAGTCGTTTTCATTAAATTGATATTACCGTATCAAAAATAAACTTGATCTGGTTATTTCTCGTTACTTTCTATTTTTAGAGAAAATATGTGCTTAGTTTTATTTTTACAGCCATTGGAGGCTGTGTCAATATAATTTTATATATTTATTTTTACACCCATTGGAGGCTGTGTCAATGTAATTTTATATCTTTATTCTAACACCCATTGGAGGCTGTGTCAATATAATTTTATATCTTTAATCTTACACCTATTGGATCGACTGTGTCAGTATAATTTTAGATCTTTATTCTTACACCCATTGGAGGCTGTGTCAATATAAATTTTATCTTTATTATTTATTATTTGTTCACCTGAATATTTCTGGTTGCTGTTGCCACTTTCATTCTCATTCTTAGCTTCAAAATATTTCTTGGTTTTTAAAGTTTTAGATTTTTCAAATCCAAGCCTGATACACATCTTCTCGTTTACTAAGCTCTCAGTATTCTCCGGGGAGTGTACACGGCCATCTGACTGAACATATTTCGTTAGATCGTCTTCAATATCTGCATCTAGGCCGGGTTCATGAAGTACATCTTGGGTTTCCATGTTGGACAAATCGTACAAATGCGATAAATGATCGATATCTCCATTTTCAAGAATATTCGCAAAAGATTTCCCGCTCCGGATCTTCATTTCCGCTTCCAGATCCGGGAGAAGTGATTTTGCCCTCCCCTCCTCCACCGTGATAAACTGAGGAGGGGCTGCGCTTCCTCCCTCGACACTGGTTTCCAGGAGACACCTAGGTAAAGCAAAAAAATGTTATTTTTCGTATTTTTTTAACGTTAATATTTTTGTCTGTTTAACATTTTTTAATTGCATATTTTTAGATTATACTTAACCTTTTAAAATATTATGTTAATATGTGTTTAGTTAAAACCATGATCAATTGAATTTCACATTTTGGATTTGCTGACAGAAATACCCATCACATGCCTACACTAAACTAAACTGTAAACAACCTGGATTTAAATAAGAAAAATATCACCTATTAAAGGACTTTAAAGTGAGCAAGAAATGAATGAAGACTATACAGTAGTCCTCGTATATATCAATACAATGAAGAATATACAGTAGTCCTCGTGTATATTAATACAATGAAGAATATACAGTAGTCCTCGTGAATATTAATACAATGAAGACTATACAGTAGTCCTCGTGAATATTAATACAATGAAGACTATACAGTAGTCCTCGTGTATATCAATACAATGAAGACTATACAGTAGTCCTCGTGTATATCAATACAATGAAGACTATACACTAGTCCTCGTGTATATCAATACAATGAAGACTATACAGTAGTCCTCGTGTATATCAATACAATGAAGAATATACAGTAGTCCTCGTGTATATCAATACAATGAAGACTATACAGTAGTCCTCGTGTATATCAATACAATGAAGACTATACAGTAGTCCTCGTATATATCAATACAATCAAGATAAATTTCAATTTTAATTTTGATTTCTCCCTAGCTTTCTAACAGCAGAAACATTTTAACTAATAGAAGATGTCAATTGATGACTTCTCTTGTGTACTTCTACACTTGCAATTTGCAGGGATCAAAGCATTATTAATTCTTAATCATTGTATTGATACAATTTCGTTCGCCATGTAATTTACTATTTTGCCATTTCTTAAATTTGACTTATTTTTTTATTTTCACCCCTATTTGCAGCACTCCCCAATTAAGCTTGTGAAAGCTTCTCTATTTGTTATTATTAACGTTTTTGGGACCTTAGTTATTGCGGCAAATGTAACCATTATGGGAAATGTTACTGCTATGGTAAATGTAACCACTATGGCAAATGTAACCAATATGGAAAATGTAACCACTATGGCAAATGTAAGCGTTATGGAAAATGTAGCCATTATCTAAAATGTGGCCATTATGGAAAATGTGACCATTATGGAAATGTGACCATTATGAGAAATGCAACGACCATGGCAAATGCAACCATTATGGAAAATATAACCATTATGGAAAATGTGGCCATTATGGAAAATGTGACCATTATGGGAAATGAAACCATTTTGGTAAAAAAAAAAGGCAAATGTAAACATTATGGAAAATGTAACCATTATGGAAAATGTAACCGTTATGGTAAAGGCAACCATTATGGAAAATGTAACCATTATGGCAAATGCAACCATTATGGTAAATTTAACCACTATGGTAAATGTAACCAAAATGGCAAATGTAACCATTATGGTCAATGTTATGTTACTTATTGCGATTATTACAACAATCAAGGCAAACCAACAGAAAATAAAGATACTTCATGCATGCATATAATATATTATTATTAGTATTTATTTTATGTTTATGATGTCCATTTAAAGGGACTGTAAAGGAAAAATGAAAGGGGGCATAGGCTAAAACCTAAACACTTTAGGAGTTGATCGGGACCTATATGAGTTCTATACAGACGGAGACGTTCGACAATGATACCTGCACTGCCAAAAGTGTAAATTCTGGTCAATTAATACAGACGTAGACGTTTCAATTATATCTATTATAAATGAATAAGTAATATATTCAAATTATAGGATTGTACCTAAGCTATTTGGCTCCTCTGGATTATCGTAATTTTCAGATTCGTTGTGTATTTGCTAAATTTGATCTGTTCAAAACCTTGATTCATATACCACATCTTATACATCATTTTTGGTATAAAGTTGATACAGTTTTGTATGCATTTCTTGAGACAGGAACATCAGATAGAACTCATATTTGATCTGTTCAAAACCTTGATTCCTATACCACATCTTATACATCATTTTTGGTATAAAGTTGATACAGTTTTGTATGCATTTCTTGAGACAGGAACATCAGATAGAACTCATATTTGATCTGTTCAAAACCTTGATTCCTATACCACATCTTATACATCATTTTTGGTATAAAGTTGATACAGTTTTGTATGCATTTCTTGAGACAGGAACATCAGATAGCACTCATATTTGTCGTGATCAACTCCCAAAGTGTTTAGGTTTCAGCTTATACACTCTTTCATTTTTCCTTAATAGTCCATTTAATGATAGCTATGTTTTCTTTATAAAAGAGTAGAGGATATAAATTATTTGTATTATAAAGGTGTTTTTCTTCTAAGAAATAAATAAGATCACGGTTGGGAAATAGAAAATCTCACGCACTCATACATGGCATAATTATTATATTGTGGAAGACGATGCCTGGCCGCGTTAAACTAGTTCCACAAGATTCAACAGAATGAGATAGAACGGATACGGGGCATGGTACTGATATCATCATCTACAGTCTACACGTGCAATATTGATATTGACTCTAGTTCTGAACCCTTTAGTAATAAGTTATAAGAAATATATATACTGGAAGTTATTTATGCGTTTTTATTAGAGTCTGACTCACGTCCTCTATAATATCAACAACATATTGCTATATATGAAATACATAGATTTATATATTATATACGAATTTATAAAATAAATCTGGCTATATTTTCCCAGTAGGTAATATAAAGCGTGTTTCTAATTTAACTTTTTTTAAATTAAACTTTTGTTTTTTTATGTGTAAACATATTAAACACACGGAGAATAAACTTTTCTTTTTTATTTGGTTGAAACGTAAATAGCTTTAAATTGTGCAAGTTACGGGAAATTCAAAACCAACATTTTATCTTTGAAAATTATGATGGAAATCAAGCACAGTTTGTTGCATTAACTGTAATTTCTAAACATGCAAACATTATGCTAATTATGCAATGTTTACAGGAGAGATATCTATTTTGTAACACAGTATAAAATTCAGTCTTAAAGAAGCTGTAGACGAAATGAATAGTGACGCTCCATTAGAGTGACATATTCGATCACAGGAATTGTCCCTCTATTAAAATTAATTATTTTTAATTTCGGTTCTCTAAACAGTTACTTGGTAGTTGTATATTCTGGGTAACCCAGTTTGATTGTACATCGTACTGCTATAATGTTTTTCCTCCGATGTAAAGTTATGAATACATGTTCTCCGGGAAACTAATTGGACTGGGAATAAAGGAAACAATGAATATAAAAATAAGTTTGAGAAAAGATATTTACAAGAACTAAAGATTACCTAATAGTGCCTTAGCGAAAAACAACGTAGGTATCTCTACAATGAATCAAGTGTAACTAACAAATTTGTGCAGATATATATGCATTTGACTAAATCTAAAAACCGGTTTCTTATGAAGATGCAGTACGGAACTTATACTGTCTGCTTCAGGGGCGCAGTAGAATTCCTTCAACATCAACAGGGGCACCTTGATCAGGACGAGACGATTTCGTCGCGTAACACGGGTACATTTGTGAATTGGACAAACCACTCTATAAATGGAGAATCACTTGAAAATACGTCTTTATTCCCTTTTATATAAAATTGTTTAAAGTTTACTAAATACACATCTGTAAGTGCACTTAGAAGTTTAGTCAACATTTTCTCATTTAATGTGAAAGGTTAAACGAAGTGAGAAACGTCTACACAATCCTTCCAGGGGATCTTAACCTCAAACTGAAAGTTTTAAAGCTGATTTTTCTTTGATGATTTATCAGTTTTTCAATCATAAATCAGGAAAAGTTTTTTACTTTTATTATTTCATGACTAGTACTTGTTCAAAGTATTATCATAACTTTACAATTAAAGAAACTGTTGTTTTTATGAAAGTTATTCTTGTATGGTAGTTTAAAAATAGTATTTTCTCAACCTCTAAATCTCCTAATTTTAAGTTTGTTTGTTCCTATAAAAGAGCGTAACATCTTAATTTTTGGAATGCAGAGCAAAGTCATTTTTGTAAAGCGTAGAGGAATACATTTTTTTAAACCTTTAAGAACGACAATATCTTCCTTGTTATTGATCAGAGTCTAAAACTAAAGAACGAAAAGTTTTGACTTAAATTTTAACTTCATGGTTAAATGCCACTTCTGACTTAATTTAAACCTGAACTTTAACCGTGAGGTTAAATATTTAACCCTGTGGTTAAATATTTAACTCGTCGCCGAAATCGACGAGTTAAAATTTAAACACAGGGTTAAAATCTTGAAATCCCGCAATCCCTCTTTGTCTATCATCATTCAGCGGTAAGCGGCATTCAACTAATTACGATATATTTAAAAGTTAAAACCTTGATTTAATAAATTTCACGTTTCAGATTAATTAATGTTTGCACGTAAACCCAAAATACGGTTTTAACTGCAGATATGTTTTGTTTTCCGTCAGGGAAAAAATTTAAAATACAGCTGATTACCGATACTTACGTAATAGTTCTCCGTAAATAATTTTCTCTGATTGGTTCAGATTTTTCCCGGGAAGTTCAAATTTAAAATTGAGAAAGTTTAATATTTAAGTAGCTATTCATTATTTTACAGAACTTTTAACCTCGAACTTAAAATTCGTGCATTCTTTAGTTTTAGACTCAGATAAATGTTTCAAGGGTACTGTTGTGATTCGTGCATACCACCTTTGCACTACAATTTACGCTCACAGTCCCTTTAAGAACAATGTCGACGCAAAACTTTTTATGGCGTCCATAGGAATATCGCGAGGTCAGAGTGATACAAAAATAAAAGTATTAAAAATGAAATAATTCTTAATTTTTTATTCTTCAGTCATAGTGAGACCAGTTAATCAGACTTAGCAACTCATCAAAACAGAAAATGTCTAGAATAATAAGAAATAAATATTGTTTTGACTGCTGATGTTATATGAAATCTTTGATAAGTATTATTAGAATTGGCAGCCTTGTATTTCCCTGAACTAGCTTAAAACGTTGAAACCTTTATAAGCATATTCTAAGGTTCTAGTGCCAAAACAAGAACATCATTGTTTTTTCAAGTTTATTTCTAAAATTGAGCGCGTACTTAGTGCTAAAATTCTAAACAATATATATATATATTTATCTTGTAGCACTGTAATAATTTTATAGTAATATATTTAAGAATGTATGCCTTTAACATGTTGATGTGACAACATGGGTTTTAACCTTTTCTTTCATATTTGGTACAGTGAGAACCAGATATAACTCTGAAATATGAAGACGACTTTTATGCCTTTGAAAAGTCCAATAAACGTGACCCACAGGCTCACAGCCGTTGTGAAGTGTAATTATACCCTTTTCACTTGATAAGTTACTAGTTAATTGTTGCTCTAATGTCGTCTTTGTATTCCACAATTTTCTATTTCTTACTGTAGAATCTTAAGTAATTAATCTTAATTCTTTTAATTTGAACAATGCAAGTCATTGAAATTTCGATTTTTGCACTCCCTTAAAACATTTCATGAATATAATTCAAGAAACTTAAGTTTTTTTAATTTCCATTTTTTCTGAATACCACTGTATTAACTTCATTTACCTTTGGTTATGTTTAAGCTCCTGATAAGGTTCGGACTGTGTTATTCCCTTGAAACAAACAGGGACTGGAACTTGGGAACATTCTTCCCAGGATACATGGATACATTCATTCCTCTCCTCTACACTACACTCCTAGGATGGATACATTCATTCCTCTCCTCTACTTTACACTCCTTGGATTCAGGGATACATGAATTTATTTACACTACACTTCACTTCCCGCTAGCTTCTATATACTAAGTAAAAATTTTTTCTTTCCTTGAAATGGTATTCCTATGCTGTAGATATGTACAATTACTACTCAAAGCTATATAAAAGATCAATTCTTTTTCAATTTATTTACACCACTGTTTGTTCTGGTACAGGATATACCAATAAAAATGGGAATTAAGTGACGACTTCTATATCGTCTTGTTCCGTCAACACAATTTTAGCAGTATCTCCGTTAGAACAGCTGAAACTACTAGACTTTGGGAATTCCAAAATGTGGTCTACCATTTTTACATCATTAAAATTGACGGAGTTATGGAAAAATCAGAAGACATACAATCTTTTTAAGAAATACTTTTTGTCATTTTATCTGCATCAACTACGGATATAGTCGTCTCTCAATTCCAATGTTTATTGGGTCACCCTGCACTTTAAACTTTAGATTTATATTAGTGTATGTTTTACCTTCACAAGAATAGGAGTACAGGCAGTGTTAACCAGGGTCATTTTTTCCAGGTTTTTATCCACGGTTGGATAAAAATAGTCTTGCTCTTCCTCGCATACAATCCTAAAAAATAACGTAAAATTATTTTCTAAAAGGGAGTGTTCGCGAAAAATATTGGGGTTATTGAATCTGGAATCGATCGCCAACAATTTTACTTCTATGTTTTGCGTCTGTAATAAAAAAAACAACGTTTGTCCCTTACAGCAACCAGGACCATAATCAAAATGTAAAGCAATAAATCAATTTCATACAAACGATTCTGTTTGGGAAAAAGTAAATAAAATACTGAAATGATTACAGGATACTACATATTACCTGGGGAGTGCAATATTTACAGGATACAGGATATTAACCTGGGGACTGCAATGTTTACAAGATACTAGATACTAACCTGGGGACTGCAATGCTTACAGGATAAGGGATATTAACCTGGGGACTGCAATGTTTACAGGATACTGGATATTAACCAGGGGACTGCAATGTATACAGGATACTGGATATTAACCTGGGGACTGCAATGCATACAGGATACTGGATATTAACCTGGGGACTGCAATATTTACAGGATAGCTGGATATTAACCTGGGGACTGCAATGTTTACAGGATACTGGATATTAACCTGGGAACTGCAATGTATACAGGATACTTAATATTAGCCTGGGGACTGCAATATTTACAGGATACTGGATAATAACCTGGGGACTGCAATGTTTAAAGGATAATAGATATTAACCTGGGGACTGCAATGTTTACAGGATACTGGATATTAACCTGGGGACTGCAATGTTTACAGGATACTAGATATTAACCTGGAGACTGCAATGTTTACAGGATACTGGATATTAACCTGGGGACTGCAATGTATACAGGATACTATATATCAACCTGGGAACTGCAACGTATACAGGATACTAGATATTAGCCTGGGGACTGCAATATTTACAGGATACTAGATATTAACCTGGGGACTGCAATGTTTACAGGATACTGGATATTAACCTGGGGACTGCAATATTTACAGGATACTGGATGTTAAACTGCGAACTGCAATGCATACAGGATACTAAATATTAACCTGGGGACTGTAATGTTTACAGGATACTGGATATTAACCTGGGGACTGCGATGTTTACAGGATACTCCTGGATTTCACAATCTTGACTAGTTGTGTTTACACAGTTATATTTCCCTTCAAGAAACTGTTCTCCAGCACTGTTTAGAACCCATTTCTCCTCACAAACCTAACCAAAACCATATTTTATCAACTTCGAGAAGTAGTTGAAAAATACTATAGAAAATGTCGGAGCTTCGAAAATTATATTCATAAAACTTCAAAGTTAAAACTATTTTTTTTAACAACATCAGACAGTATCTTTATAAATTCCCCAAATCAACTAATTACCCCCCCCCCCTTCTTTACAAAAAAAGATTTTAATCTAATAAGACTTATCCAACGTTGGATTGAAAACAAATTTTTACCAAAAAAAACATATTTACCTCTTTTGTAACATTTAAACACTGTGGAGTGTAGTGAGTCTCTGTAAGATAATGATTCCCAACAGATCTACATACTTTACTGGTGTACACACTGTTCTTTACAGCATCTTGTCTGACCTACAGTACATAATGTTTACTGGTGTACACACTGTTCTTTACAGCATCTTGTCTGACCTACAGTACATTATGTTTACTAGTGTGCACATTATTCTTTACAGCATCTTGTCTGACCTATAGTACATAATGTTTAATAGTGTACACACTGTTCTTTACAGCATTTTGTCTGACCTACAGTACATAAAGTTTACTAGTGTACACATTATTCTTTACAGCATCTTGTTTGACCTATAGTACATAATGTTTACTTGTGTACACACTGTTCTTTACAGCATTTTGTCTGACCTAGCGTACATAATTTTTAACAGTGTACACACTATTATTAACAGCATCTTGTCTGACCTATAGTACATAATGTTTACTATAGTGTACACACAGTTCTTTACAGCATCTTGTCTGACATACAGTACATAATGTTTACTAGTGTACACACTGTTCTTTACAGCATCTTGTCTGACCTACATAATTAATAATTTATAATTTATAGTATTTATATTTTATGATTTTGTTAACTTTGATTATAAGGAACAGATCAAAACCATGAAATTAAGAAACATAACAAAATATATGCATGTACATGTTAGACCTTAAATACCTGAATTGTACTTTGCTTAGTTTGACAATCAATCTTTGGCGTCAGCTGACATTTAAACTCTTCTACTGTACTGCAAACCTGCTCTGTCTTGGTCTAAATATGAAATAAAAAAAAATTAAGAGTAAATCATTGAACGAAACTCCCGAGCTCCCTGTTTGGGGTCGAAACATTTGTGTAGAGTTTAATTTAAGAAACAACTAGATTTTAAGAAACCAAATAGAATAATATTTATGAATAAATATATTGGTATCTACAATACATTTATTAAACTGGGTTTCTTCATGTCGATACCCTCTATTAAGTTTCGGGCTCTGGGCCGGGGGTGAAAATGATCACTTAATCATAAATAAAATGTACGGTGTGCTTTTAGCAAATAGTAGAAACTTTAGACATGATGTACATGTAGTAATGGATTCCAGTACAGATTTGTTTAAGTTTAAGTTTAAAAAAACCAGCCTCATGTTAATGTAGATACTTCATGTACATTGTACATCTATAGATATACTTTGGGTGTCTGTTTGTAACCGATGAACCCCAAAACGGCTGAACCGATCGGGCCCTAATTTTTTGTGGGATCTGAGCTCAAAACCTTAGAATGGGATATCCTTAATCCCGATCTGTTAATTAATCTGGAGATTAAATTCATGAGGACAACATGCAATACTTAATCTGGAGATTAATAAGGAGTGGATCAAGCATTAATCCCGATATCCACCATTCTAAAGTTACCAGCTCTGGAGATTAATAACAAGCCTTTTTTAATCTGGAGATGAAGAGAAAAAGAGGAGATCAAGCATAAATCTCGATATCCACCATTCTAAAGTTTTCAGCTCTGAAAGTACGCCAGGAAAGGATAATAGATTATTGTTATCAAGAATTAAATTATATTTTGTTGAGAAAAAATTTAAAGTGAATTCAAAGCAATTCAAATTCCAAATTATTTGTTTAATAAAATAAACTTTCAGAGACAATAAACTAAATAAGAATTGTAAAGAAAGTCTTTGAATTCAAGAAAAAGTTTGTAAGAATAATGTTTTTGAATAATTCAAGAAACAAAAAACGTCAAACGACATTGTTTTTTTTTCCTTTAAAAACTTTAATTGGAAATTGGAATTAATTAAAAATAAAACAAACAAATTTCGGACAAAAAATCATTTATTCTCATTTCGTTTTAAAGGGAGTGTTCGCGAAAAATGAAAGGGGGTATAGGCTTAATGCGATAAAAAGCGCTTTTGATCGCTACTAATCTTACTTCTATCTGTTGCGTCTATAAGGAGAAAATTGTTAAAAACTTTCAATTTGGAGAATTCAGAAATACACTCAAGCTTTATAGAATTGTTTTTTTATAGAAATAATGTGTAATATAGTAGTCAGCTGTATATTTTTTATACATATCTAATATAAAGTACAGTACAGAGTTACCCACAAAGGATGAGACTGTAAAGGCGACCCAAATCGTTAAAAATATGACAATTTAAAGCTTGGTTTTCTGCCTTTAATTTAGTATTTCACGGTGTGCTAAATGAGTAAGTACAAAAATATGCAAGAATCACACTTCAGTATTTAATCACTTTGTAAGAAACCCTGAAGGTAAGAAAAAGGAATAAAAGTTCCGTAAAATCCTCCCTGAAGTCCCATCCTTTGTAATTTTGGGTTACCCTGTATTTACAGTTATAATATCTGTTTGTTTTACTTTGTATGTCCGATCATAACTCAAGAACCCCTTGACCGATTTGCCTTAAATTTTGATTGTGGAACTCGGAAAAACCACGGGAAATTTCTTTGCTTGGTTTTAAATTCTAAGTTGAGTGGGAAAATAGCTAAAATCGTTTATGACCAAGCGCTTATGATTATTTATGACCAAACGCGGGTAAACGGCGGGAGTAACTACGAACTGTCCCTGAAGATTTTCCTATAAAAGTCAACCCACTCATTTACAATTTAAACCATAGCTAAACACATTTTTGTGATTCATCCGAGGTACCACAATCAAAATTTTAGTCAAATCGGTCAAGGGGTTCCAGAGTTAAGATTATTTATCCAAACAAACAGAGATTGCTACTTTATTATCTAAAACTTTAACTGTAGAGACAGAAACGTTCACAGAATACCTTTTATGTATTCAATAATAGATTAGGAAATTAGATTTTATATAAATAAACTAAAAATATTTAGATATATCCTCATCTCCATGTTGTATGTGACATGTCACATAACACATTTGTGCAGTACAGTAGCTGAAAGTTTTTATAATATTTGTGCAGTACAGTAGCTGACAGTTTTTATAATATTTGTGCAGTACAGTAGCTGACAGTTTTTATAATATTTGTGCAACATGTATCCCCAGAGTGTTCTTCTTGAAAAATATTGGAGTGTACGTTGTACATGATAAAACTGTAACTTACAAATTGTTTGTATGTTTGTGTAACATATATCCCTAGAGAGTTCTGCTTGAAAAGTATTGGAGTGTACTTTGTATATGATAAAACTGTACCTGACACATTGTTTGTATGTTTGTGTAACATATCTCTAGAGTGTTCTGCTTGTAAATTACTGGAGCGTACTTTGTACATGATAAAACTGTACCTGACAAATTGTTTGTATGTTTGTGTAACATATCTCTAGAGTGTTCAGCTTGTACAGTACTGGAGTGTACTGTGAGATATCTACACATTTATCTCCTCCTGCTGTACCTGTACACCAAACCAGGCACACACTAAAAACATATTTTCAAATTAGTAAGCAAAGACGCAAAGGGGGGCTATGGGTGCTCTCTGCCCTTCTGGATCAGAAAAATCAATGGTTTCCAGTTATTTTTTAAGGCCCTAACGGGTGCTGAGCCCCCTTGGAAAGAACATTTTAACATCCCCCCTGAGCCCGCGATTTAAAAACTTCATCTCGAGTCGTAATTCCTTAAACCCGACTTTAAGACCCAATCTTCGACCCTACTCTGATGACAGCTTGTGTCACGTGATTGGCAGCTGCAAGATCTTCGACTCGACTTAAGGAGTTAGGCCCAATGAAAATTAAACCGACCTTGGTTGGTTTTAGTAGAGAATAAGGCTCAATATTGAGTCTTGTTCTCATAAAAACCCGGAATGCGTCAATTCCTACCATGAAAATCCGCCAAATAGATAATAAACCGGCTTTTTTCAACTCAACTCTGTGGAAAATAAGATGCAGCTTGAATCCAAAAGCTCAAGCCGTAAATAAGGTCCAACGACAGCTTAGACCGGAGCCGTATTATCCCGAATTTTTTAAATCGCGAGCTCTGACAAAATTAACTAGACCACGCCATAAAGAAATCATTGTGAGTACATTTCTTTAACATTGTTTTTGAAAAGTCTTTAAAAATTTTAAATCTATAAACTCTAGACATTGGACAGATCTCATTTGTTGTAAACTGTTTAACACCATTTAAAGTTCTCTGACAAAATATACTCTCACTTTTATTTTCTCTTTATCTCTAAAATCATTGTTTTGTAGTAACTATAATACAGACATAGCTCTCTTGGGACACAATGCATCTGGGATAAGAGAGTGGAAGATTTATAATTAAATGTGCCGTGCCCCCCCCCCCTCACCCCTCCCCTTCCTTTTCGTTCAAAGCTCAATTTTGCGGATCTAACATACGAGGTGTGCACAGAGATCCAAAAGTTGCAAGATCTTACGTAAACATTTACGAGAATTTTGTCAATTAATTCTTAAATACGATTTCTACAATCAAGTGATTTATATTACTAAAATGTCTAGAGCTATACAAAAAATTTTGGGTCAGACGATGTTCTTAAATCAAAGGCCCAAGGCATTGCGACACTTTAAAATTGGTCCAGCCTTGAAAATTGATGCAATTTTGCTTCGCAGTTTGAATCTTTGTGTGTAATCAATAAGTTTCACTAAAAAATTGAGGGTTACTAGAAGAACACTCAGTCCTGCATTTCTTTTTTTGAAAGTTCACTTTACCGGAATACATTTTTACATCAGTTGATGTCAATCAGATCTTTGTTGTAATGTAAGGAGAGTTCTCTAGAAAGTATATCAGAGCTTTTTTCAGAATAGTCTCAAACGTGATCCATCAGAGTCTGTTTTAGACTTCTTAAGAGCGATCAAAAGAAATGATAGATTGAGTATTTAATGTAGGAAGGACATTCGAGGATTTTTCTGGTTTTGATTTACATTTGAGATCCATAATCAATGTTATTTTTAAAATTGTGCTTTACAACTTTGTTTACAAAGCATATATCAAGCTGCATGTCTGACAAACATACTTCTTGAACCCTTGCAAATATGGTTCGAAAAATATTCAAAATTTTCTTCCATTTTTGGGGTCAATTGATGGTTTTCCCGCATAGACAAGTTATGATCCTTCAAATATTAATTGTTTTTCTTTTAAATCCTATAAACCACCATTAAAGTTCATTAAAACGTTTCAAAATGCACTCAATCTCATATGTTGCAGGGTTCTTCTTGGTTTTGCACCGTCTGATAAAAATATTCTTGGGTAACCGAGCCTTGAAAGTGTCTTAACTTTTTCTGGTCAATATTCTAGATAGTCCTATGATATGATAACGATAACACAACAACAATCTGCTTGACACCAACCTAACCAAAAATGAATCCGGTGCATCATAGATAAAGTGAGCTTTTAAAAACAATTTAGAGCTGAGACATCTAAAGGTTAAGTACCCCCAGGAAAATTTTAGCTAAACCTATTGATCACACCTCGTATCAAAGAGTGTGTTAAAAAATTGTACGGATTGAATTGCTGGCTCAAAGTTAGACTTTTACAAAGTGAAAAGGGAAGCACACGGTAAACTAGAGGTCCTGGTAAGCCTTCACTATAGAACCCATTTTCACCACTTCGTATTTTATATTCTTTATTTTTTGCTGTGCATATCAAACATTACAGCAATATGAAGTCTAATACACAACTTTTAATGGATTTTGAATTAGATATCAAATAGTTTGAAAATAGTTTGAACATGATGAAATCAGAGATTGTGACAAAAACTCCTCTAGATTCTAGTTGATGGGAGAAAACGACGAAAACATTTAACAATTTTGGGACGTATTTAGCTAAACTAATTTTTTAATTCTAGTTAATTTGAGAAAACGACAAAAACATTTAACAATTTTGGGACGTATTTAGCTAAACTAATTTGTTAAATTCTAGTTAAATTGAGAAAACGACAAAAACATTTAACAATTTGGGAACGTATTTTGCTAAACTAATTTTTTCAAGAGAACGATTTTGGTTTCGTCTTAATTTCTAAGTTTTGTTTCTATAACCGTATACCTGAAATCACATAAATGTTAAAATATTATTAATTAAAACTAAATTTGAATGACGATTACTAAAACATATTTAAAGATTAATAATTTTAAGGTTTTTACCGGATGACCTGAAAAGAAAATGGTTATAGAAACAAAACTTAGAAATAAAGATGAAACCAAAAATGTTCTCTTGAAAAAATTAGTTTAGCAAAATACGTCCCCAAATTGTTAAATAATTTTGTCGTTTTCTCAAATTAACTAGAATCTAAAGAAGTTTTGTCACAATCTCTGATTTATGATAAATATACATATATATATATATATATATGCAACTTGATGTTTTAGACCCTTGATATTTCAAACTATGAATTCTATTAGATCAAATAGTCTAAGTATACAATTTAAAAGGTTTACACGATCAGGGTATAAAGAAATTGGGGTAAGAACATTTATGCTTTTGATATAAACTCAGTTTCTGTAATAGAAGTCAAATCCTTCAAAAGTTCCGAGCTCTAATAAAACTTAAATCTTAATGAAGAAAAGAATAAGAACCAACAATTGACGAAAGAAACTAGCAAACATGAAATAAATTCTAGATTGCCCAATTATGAATAAAAACAACTTAATTATAAAACGATTTATAAGTAATTAATCCCTTGTACCATGTAACACGCAAACATGCTGTTTAAACTATGTAATATATATAATATCTCAATTTTTGGAGCTTTAGAAGACAATGAAAAAACCAAAACTTTTTATTATTATTTTTTTAAATGGTGGTTTCTCTAAAAAGTGATTTGTAGATTTCTTGCTACAGAAACATTGGAGGAATTGTATTAATTAAGCACTCTACAGGCTAGTACAACGCACGCAAATCTGACCGCATAAAGTCTGACCGCGTCAACCTTGTTGCACCGGCTAATTGTGTCCATAAAGCTAGGCACAGTACAAACTGGGACAAGAAAGGTTGACCCGGCTCGGAAATTTAAATGTACTACGGCTGCCCGTAGTACATTTAATATTTCAAACTGTCTGATCTAATCTTTCATGTTGCAGTAAACCTTTAATATTTCAAACTGTTTGATCCAACATAATTCAAATAGTTTGAGATATTAAAGGTCTACGACATGGGGTTGCAAAGATATGGAGAACTCAGTTCCTATATTAGAAGTTCAAAATTTTTTCATCTCAAGGGCTCTTGAATAAGAGGAGTTATGATTGTAAACATAAAAAGTTTTTAATTTTACTTTAGTTTTACCGTGATATAATTCTTAAGGGTAAACTAGAGGTATGGATTAGAATTCTACCGAGTCTGAACTTTCGAACCCATTTTTAGCCAAAATAATAATGAAGAGATCAAAATATGACAATAAATATTCCGATACAGACAGGTCACAGGATGCACTTCGTTGAAGTTAGTTTTACGTTACTTAGTTTCGCATGAATGCATGTTAAACAAATTAAGAGGTTAAAGCTTCATAATTCTTTCTATTTTTTCGATATTTATATATTTTGTACCAGGCTTTTAGGGCGCTTCGCACCCATCTTCTATTTAAATTGTGAACATGTTCTTTTTGTTAACATTTTAAAACAAAGAAGACAATTTTTTGCGGATTTTCAAAAAAAAAATTCGCGGATTTTCAAGAATTTAATTTTTTTACAAAATTAAAAACCTTTAAAACACATTTTTTAAAATTTTTATCATTCATAAACCTTCCCTGTGGTCACGTGATGTCCCCGAAAAATTTGGGCCCGATCGGTTCAGCCGTTTTGACGTTTATTGGATACAAACAAACAGACAGACAAGCCAAATTTATAAATAGATTAATCTCTCCAGAAAAAGGGTTGCGTATTTCAGCAAAACCTGCAACAAATATAACTGAATTCAACATACATCAGAGGAGAAAAACCTGCAATATTGTTCAAGATTAACTCCCTAAACAATTGGTCGATTTTATAATATCTGTTAAAAAAAGGTAAAATTTGAATTTGTTAAACATTTTTAAATTACTTAAAAATGTAAGAACTTCATTGCATTGTATTGGTATAAAATTTTTATTTCAATTGAAAGGAGACTAATTATCCCCAACATTTAAAAAAGATTTTATATTATCAAAAAATATCAAAAACGGAAATCTTAGAAACAGAAATGATTTTTATATTCCTAGAATAAAATCTATTAAAATTGGACTGCTCCCCCCTCACAATTTCCCTAAATTATGGTATTAAAATAAACGACACTTTTGTAAGCGTTCAAATTTCAATCTTATTTCGAATTTTATTCAGAATTTAATAGAAAATTTTTATCAACAGAACAAATGTTTTAATTCTAACACATGCTATGTTTGCAAAAGAATCGAAGAAAGTAAAGACGACTTTACAGAGAAAAGAATGAAAAGATTAAAAAGAGTAAAAGATATAATCAACAATAAAGGATGTTAAA